AGATGACGACTGACCACGGCGGCTGGACAGTCATACAGAACCGGTTTGACGGCTCACTGAACTTCTACAGACGGTTATGGGACTACAGGTAATGTCATGCCACATACAGCCAATATATCATTAATTCTTCATTATATAATACGGCAAGCTTACCACTACATCCCTCACTTCAAAATACTAGTAATAGCTCGCGATACCTTGCATTATCCCCATTGAAATACTGGACAACTAATGGTCACTCCAAGTTCCATACACAAGATACTGAATCTACCTGTTATTCGAATAAATTTTTGGAGTGTGAACGGGGTCATTGACGAAATGTGTTCACTGTGAATGCACTATTAGTGCCATTATATTTATTGTAATGTCCTTGATCTAATGAAGGAGGAGGGGCGTTTTAATCGGATGCGTCATTGCTGAAACTTTCTAACTGTGGCCCTAACATGCGTATGCTCCCTTATTTGCGTCCGCAGGGACGGCTTTGGTGACATCGAAGGAGAACACTGGCTTGGTCTCAAAGTCCTACACAAGCTCACAGGGGGAGATACTAACTACGAGCTGCGCATAGAGATGCAAGACTGGGACGGAAATACGGCCTGGGCCAAGTACGACACGTTTAAAATCGCGGGAGAGAGAGAGAAATACAGGTTAACTGTCAGTGGCTACCAAGGCAACGCTTCGGACGCCCTCGTTCATAGCTCCAAGTGTAAATTCAGCACGAGGCAAGAAGACAACGACTTGAGTGGAGCTCGCAACTGCGCAGAAGAGCAAGGCGGTGGGTGGTGGTATTGCTTCTGTGAGAGGTCGGGGTCTAACCTGAACGGACCTTACTTCAAACCTGCCCACTATCGCAAAGAAACACACACGGGCCTGGGCGTGTACTGGAAGGGGTGGAAGACACACTCACGACACCCGCTCATCAAGGCTACCAGGATGATGATTAGGCCGAGTGGTTTTCTAGATCAGATCACAAAGTAAATGCAGTAAAAAAGATGTCGTTACCAACCACATGCAGTCAGAAGTTATGTATATACAGAATAGTTCAGTCCAGTTTTAAATACTTACCTTAAGGCCCTTTATGAAGCAACCAACTGACAGCAACCATTCGTAGATATATTTCCTGCGACTTAATGTGCAAATGGATATATCCTATGTGTGTGAGCCTTACGTAATACATGTACCGACTATCCGGCCAACAAATGATTTGTCTGGAAAAACCACTCCTCTACAGTCACTTGAGTAGTTGTGAGGCCAGCTGGTCTAACAGTATATTAAAACTACAACACTGTAACGTTATACATTTGTATTGTGCTTCCTGTAGCGTTGTTACCGTGAACGCGGGCCGTTAAACAGGACACAATGCGAGATTGAACCTGAGCCGTAACACGTCGGATGTAATGTACTGAGCTGCATTTTATGTTCCGTTCGTTATTTGTGTGATAGTTACCAACCATATTTTGTCTTTGAAATATTTAAAGCCTGTTGAGTTATGTAATGTCTGTAATAGGCAAAATGTAGTAGATGCATTAACGTTACTATCAATATCAAATTTGTTTTCTCTGTGTAAATGATTTCAACTATTGAAAGTTGTAGTTTCCTAGCAGTTTGCATTTCACATTTTGTTATGTTATTCCTGCGAATAAAAGTGTTAGTATATAGTAGAGTGAATTCATTCCTCAAGCTAACCGACATCTCGCACACACACGCAGTCGTCCCTCAGTAAGACATCTAGAGCCGCGCATAGTTCCCGTTTAGAACTTTTATTCAGTCTGTCACATTGTTTTAGTTTTGGTTTTGCAACATAACTTGATACTAGTAGTTGATCGGCAGGTTAAGTTTGAGTGAGTGAGTCAGTGCACATGAGTGAGTGAGTGAGTGAGTGTGTGAGTGAGTGAGTGAGGTATGAGCAAAAACAAGAAAACAAACAGACAAACAAACAAAAACCCAATTCAAATCACCACCATCCCCCAAACATCCCCTTCCACTACAATGAGAACTTTTATCAGGCTTCCTCCGTTTTTATAATAAGGCTATTGCCATTGCAATGCCCTCCACTGTTTGTGCAAAAAGGCGGCCAACCGTCCGCCACCAATCCCGCCGTTTCCGTGGACTTTGCACCCATACACTCGCATCAGCAGCAATCAACATGAGGTTAGACAAACAAAAAAGGTACGCTAACGTACGTACACACAACCTGCAGGGCGGCCATTGTCGGGAAAATTTGAGGACAACCTGCTCCAGTCACGAACCGGTACCGTCTTCCCGGGTTTCATAACAGGTGTCAACGCAGGCCCGGCTGGTTTTATTCTAATATGGCTGTGGGACGGTCCTGTGCTTCAAAGACGGCCTAATCGTAAGGAGTGAAAGTGTGAGTCGGTTGGTCAGGCAGTCAGATTTGAATTGGAGGATATCGATTTTTGTACTAATTTTTATCCACCCTAATAGGTCATATTCATGATGTCATTCCATGAAAATTGATAGTAGAAAATTGAAGTCGAGAAGCGCAAAAGTTGGAAAGGTACCTTCGACAGGTGGAGGCTTGAACCATATGCAGCTGTGATCGCTGGTGGTACGTAGTGCATTTTTCCAACATGGCCGGAAATGACGATGTGTTGAGAAAGCAACGAAGGCGAAGGACATGTCAAGTATTCATCGTTCTAGCCGTTCTTCTTGTGGTGGCTGCTGTTGGCGTGGTTCTCTGGTACTTTCTTCGAGACACCGAAGTCGAGCTGACACTCGGAGACGCGCGATTCTTGCAAAACGCAAGGCAGCTCACATTCTTGAACCATACGAACAGCAACATAACTCTCGAGGGAAGACTTGGTTTGAACATTTCGAGATACCTGGCTCCGACAGACTGCAGAAGCGGGAATGACCGCGAGAAACTGTGTCTGAGATGGGACGGGGTCGCAGTTTTAGAAATTCTCAGAGAGAATTTGTTGGAGCCCACGACTGGTACTTCAGTCGAAATCACAACCCAGTGTTACGAAGTGACCTGGACACCCTTATCAGACGAGTTCATTCCGCAGGTGGGACAAACTTGTTTGTTTGTTTCTTTGTTTGTTTGTTTGTTTGTCACTGACAGACTCCTTGGGGATAGCCGAATGTATACTAGTAGAACTGCGTTTGCTGGGCAGGTTGCCGTGAGTCAAGTCTAGCTAGCTCTATCTGCATAACGCTTCACCTACGAACATGGCCTCAGTTAGTCTCCAACCAGATGTGTATATTGTATATTAAACGTCGACTCTTTTCGCTCGTTTTGAAAGTCTCCCAAGACGGGTGGCTTCCTAAGAACATGTTGTAACGATAAAAAGCAAAATAAAACGAGAGAAAAGGCACATCAAACATCTGCTTGGAGATTAAACTCTACTACTTTTACACAGTATTATCTGATGTTTTATATACTGCCGTACAAAATGCTATCAATTTAATTTCAAGCCATTCCAACGGCGTCTGATATATCCGCGGCAGGGTCTTGAAACTGGTAACGTTACAAATTTAAAAAAAATTGTTGTCACGTATCTATCACAGAAGACAGCTTAAATTTGTTGGCTTGGCCCCAGTGGCAAGTGTACTGTAGTGTGTACTTCAGGATCGAAGGCCAAGTGTTTACCCGGTACATTCCGTGTATGCTAAGCTCTGTCGCTCACCATTGTGTGACGGCCAACTTCCCTTCATACATTGACTGATGGGATTGCACTGTGGACACAAACATTTGACCAAATAGAGGTACACACACCTCTGGTTAGCGACTGCTGGGTATTTGCTTACTAAAAAAAAAAAAAAAAAAACAAACAAATAGAGGTAATAAAGACTCTCCCGAACAGTTAGTCATTTCCTCTATGATCTTTCTGACCGTTTTGAACAAGCTACATTTGTGACAACATACAATGATCAGTCTGAACTACGAGGTACACACGTCCACCCCCTGTAACATACAAATTTGGGGTTAGTGGGGTGTCCTACCGACTCTTGTTATGATTCGTACCTTACCTACTTCCCACTCCTTACAATCAATCAGGATTGCTACTCGACGCTGGGAGCGAACTGGTACGGTGGCTCGGAGACGTTCTACCAGCGATGGCCTGTCAACAACGGCAGCTACTTAATGCAGCCTTACGTCACGTGGGACCACCGATGGGACCCCGGCAGGTTTGTGACCACCTGTTGCATATCTGAACAATATTGAATTTGTTACACGAAGTCGACATCTGAGGCGTCGCCATAAATATTTCTAAATTTCTTCACATGATTCGATCTAACCGCGTTTTGCAGGTATGACTATGAGTTCTATCCCGACCACTGGAAGTACGGATCCCTTCAGGAGCGATACTGGGTTTCCTCGCGAGGTGTCGCTATCAAGGCGGACGATTTCATCCCCTTGCATGTTGGTCTTAACGATACGGTGACTGAACCTGAACAGGTAAGGGGGAATATATGGAGATACTAGTGGTAGGAATGGTCAACAAGAAATGTAAACAAATGCACCAGGAGGTAACAACAGGGCATATTTAACAATGAACTTGAAAAATCAATGACGTCAAGAGAAAATATGGCACGGGCAACATCTCATCCAACACTTGCGTCACCATGGAGGTATACTTCCATGCACGCACCCATCAAAATACCTTTTATGCTATAGACAACTTTGGCGAATTTTGTGTGTCGTTATTTTAAGTAAAACAACAGAAAACAACAACTATTCAGTACACATCGTCAACAATGCTTAACCACTGACCATGCATCCTTGATACAGCTGTGCCTGATGGCTAACTTCTCCCACCCGTACAACAACCCTGCCGGGGAGTACCCCGTCCTGAAGTACACCGTGTGTCATGGCGGACACCTTCGAGACATCCATGACTTCATGGCCGACAGGTATTTCCGCAAGCCCCGTGGGGTACCGGACGATCAGGCTGAAGTCATGTACAGGGCGCCCATCTACTCGACTGGGGGTCGCTATGGGCAGTGGATCAACCAGTCTACTGTCATGAGTTTTGCTGAAGAAATCAGGTATTACTCTGTGTTTCTATTGTCATCAAATAGTGCCTCTGTTTCTCAAAGTTAGTATCGTTGTTTCGAATAAATGTAAAACTTTTTTTGCGATCAGGAAGCATATTCGTCAGTTCTTAGCGGGTCCCCTCCCATTGGAGGAAATTACTCTTGAAGATTATATTACCGTTTAAGAAATGTTTCTGTTATCCACCTCACAGAACCTGGGAGCCACTGCTGAACTTCCCGACCACCGACGTCTGGTCCACCCTGGAGTTGGACGACATGTGGTCTGAGGAGTACGGTTCCATAGACTTCGACAGGGGGCGCTTCCCGGACGCCAGCGGGATGATCGGCGCGCTGCACACCCTGGGCTTCCGCATCACAGTGTGGACCGTGCCGCACCTGAACGCCTGGACGGACGCCTTTCAAGAGGCCATGAAGAGAGGGTACGAACGGTTAAAAACATTCTAGAATGGGCCCAGTCCTGCAGATTATTTAAAGCACGACCACCAGGATAGTAGACCTAATGGTCAGGTATAAAATCACGACACTGTTCCTGGCCAACAGTTTTCCGATGATATACTGGCAGCTTTGAAGCGAAGACGTAACTGATGTGCATATTGATAATTGTCTAGATTCATAGAAGAAATTCTTACAATCACAAAGGTAGAGAGGAAAGACTTGCCATCAAAGTTGTATTGAGCGCTATGATGATTTTGATGTGGGGTCCTAATTCCATGCTAAAGAATTATATTCTGTACCTCCAGTCACAACATTATCCCTTAGCTCGCATTAATATGTTTATATGATATTCGTTAATCTTTGATAGCTACTTGGTGATGGACTCCACCGGGACGCTCCCCGGGTTGTTCGGCTGGTGGCGCGGGACGGCCGGGCTCGTGGACTTCACCAACCCCGACGCCGGCGACTGGTACGTCAGACGGTTGGACGAGATTCGCCGCAAGTACGCGGTGGACACCTTCAAAATGGACGGCGGGGAGCTGAGCTACCTCCCGGTACACTACAGGATGTACGAACATCTGACCAACCCCGCCGCCTTCACCCGTCTGTACGTGGAGAACATGGCGAGGTTGGGCGACAAGGTACAGGTCCGGGTCGGGTATGGATCACAGGTGGGTCTTCAATGATGATTCCTCTAGATGCGGCCACATTCCACATTTTTGTCGCACAAATTTTATCAAGAGTATGGCGTGGCAAAAACGACCATCGACAAGGATGTCCCCGAGAATGTCATCAATTTGCCATGACATGTAAAGTTATCGTAATGTGCTACCCTTACAGTTCACAGGAACAGCAAAACATCCACAAGACAAAACAGCTATCAATTGCTTCGCGTGCGTGTTTTTTTTACAGACTTTCGGAAAATTAGTAGAAAAATGTTTTTTAATATCAAAGTTCTAAACGTAATACGCTGTCATCTCATGCAGGATCATCCCATCTTAGTAAGAATCACAGACAAGGAATCGGAGTGGGGTTACGGGAATGGACTAAGGACCTTGATACCCTGCGCACTGCAGTTCGGAGTCAACGGTTACATCTTCATATCACCAGGCGTGGTCGGTGGCCTTAGCAACGACGGACAGATGCCTGACAAGGAGCTATATATTCGTTGGCTACAAGTGTCCACTTTTTTTCCTACCTTAGAGGTACATGTTTGTGTATATCTCATTCTGTAATTATACATTTTGACACCTGTTATTTCAGTTTATACGAAGGAACACACTGTTAGCGCACATGTCTACATATCAAATGGCATACCATTGAAAAATGCTAGCTAAGCCAAACACAGGAAAATCCAAACACAGGAAACGTACATGGTAGATACGTGCATGCGGTATTTCAGTATAAAACTGTATGTTATGTTTCTTGTGCAGTTTTCAATCACTCCTTGGCAGTACGACAACGAAACTATCGCCATCACCAGACAACTGATGGAACTACGGACCACGTTGGTTTTGCCGAGGTTGCTTGAAGCTTTAAGGTAAGTTTGTAACATGTACAGTCTTTTGTAACAGTGTGCGGCAGACACCCATCTGAACTAGATACTTGTCGAAAGGCTAAACCCCCTTCCTTAGGCCAAGGCCGCGTATACTGGACGTTGTTGTTGATGTCCTTGTCTAATAATGTTTATCATTCCGATAGACGTGGACACAAGGTGCTGTCTCTTCTAGAGGCTTATATAAGGTATATTGGGCGGGTGCAGTTATCTACCTTTAAAATCCAGAAAATAACCCCAGTCTTACAACTTTTCCTTTTTGTTCCCCATCTCAGACAATCCCAAACGACCGGAGCGCCGGTGCTGAGGCCCCTGTGGTGGATAGCGCCAGAGGAAGTGTACGCCCAGATCGTTGATGATGAGTTCATGTTGGGAGACACGCTGCTCGTGGCACCAGTGTTGGACCAAAGTAGGAAAACTTCTACCTACTACCCACATACTAAATATCATCATAGCAACTAGACACGTCAACACACACTTGTGCTTTAAACTTCTACATGTAAAAGAACCTAGTGCGCTTGTCAAAAAGAGCAGGGTGACTCTGTGTGCTTGGCTTGAACTGTGCCAAAGCAGAGTCGCATTATGCTTACAAGGTACTTCAAAAAACATCACGCTTCACCTAAGTTGAGGATGACTGCTTTCTCATTTCTCTATAATTACCCTTACCGTGTCCTGACAATGACGTTGGTCTTTTCTTTTTCATAATAAAGGAGCCAGGTCTAGAAACATCTACCTGCCGAGTGGACGATGGAGCGATAGACTTCGAGGAGGCAACATCAACTCCGACGGCGGGCAGTGGCTCGAAAACTACCGAGTGGAGCTCCGAGAAGTCCCACACTTCATTAAGACATTCTAGGGTGGTAAATTAAATACAAAGTGTTCATGCTATGACATAAACTTGTGTGAAAGTTTGATCAGTAGTTTTTTTCTTCTTATAAACTTGGGGTGCCTAGTTTATAGGTTATGAAAATGCAGAGACGCAGTGTTTTCAGGTATTCTTATTGTTACTTGTTGCAATTATTTTGTCTTACTAACAGTTAATACTTCTACATATAGGGAGAAACTACACTTTTTGCTGTTGTCATATTTGGCACAATGATAATTTCATATACATACTGTAGTTCATCTGTTATAAAAGCTTTTGCAATTGCTACAATCAATCCAGACCTCTTTTTAGTATTTTTTGGGGAACTGTAGTTCATTCCCCATGTTTTTCACTTTAAGAATTAATAAACAAATATGTCTTGTATTAGATAGACAGACCATAAGGATGCTGTGCATGACCTTTATTTTGTACGTGATACATAGCTTGTGAGGACTATAGGAAAAATTTTAATTTTACCTCACCCAAATCACAGGGACATACTGTGTTATTGGAACATCCTAGGAAATACATTGTACATCAACCTTTTGTCTCCTGGAGCATGAATTTGAATGGTTGTATGATAAATTGTTGTCCTTCATTCAATAGTGCATGTCGTGGTGTTTCTTTGGATGCTTTCAAAAAGCTAGATAAGGCCTTGAAAATAAATGAAATTTCAACGATCACATGACTCATGTTCATTCATTATTTTCACTACATCTCATAAGGGCTCTCTGAGTTTTGGTAAAAAAAAGTAACCTTTTTTGCCATTAGACCTGTACATATAATCTTTTCTTTCTCAACAATTTCCTTAATGTGTCCTTTTCATCAAAATGAATGTATATTGCACTTAAAGAAACAAAATCAAACATTATCAATTATTTCATAAAATCAGTTCAAAAGCATTGAACATTCTTCTTCTGATAGTATGACATACTATCTGGATCAAACAAAAATGTGCTATCCAGTCAAATCAACTGTTGACATCTAAACTGCCTTCAGACTTTTTACACTCTACGTGTATTGCATTTCATTAAAAAAGGTGAACTGGCTTATACCATACAGTTACACATTCCAATCTGCTGCATAACAGCATCATGCCACATCCCTAAGGTAAGCCCCTCCATCTCCCTCTAACAGCTGCAGACAGAGGTCGTTAAACCCCATCTCAGTAGCCAGCCTGTAGGTGACCTGCACCTCCCTGCAGTATCCCAGCAGCTTCTTCAGGTTACCTGCCACCTGGCTGGACTTACTGCCATCCCGGTGGTACCTGTGAGATACAAAAGTCGGCTGTGTCATTCTGAGTCATTTGTTATCGTCAACATTGAAAACTAGTATTAAACTAATATTTGAACTGATTCTCTGCTTCACATATGGGAAAGAGTACAGAACTTGAAGTGCTACCAGTTTACTAGACCCCTGCTATAGTATTGTCTGTACTTGAAAGCTGTGAGGCCCAAGATCTAGGAAAAGGACATAAACTTGGACTAAAACATTGAAGTTGCATGTGAAATGGATGCTTGCCTCCACCCAAGTCCTGTACACAAGTGTGCAACATGTTAATGCACAACTCCAGTTTTACCCACACCTGTGTATGCAGAGGGTACATGTATTGTGAACCTAAAAGTGTTAAAATGTCCTAAACTGACCTTCCCACAATATCTACAAACATGCCACTGTTGAGGCTCAGGTGTGCCAGGTAGTCGTCCAGATAACGGAAGTCTCCTGACAGAACAACGTTGTTGTACAGGGCTGAGGACCACTCCGACTGCTTGCCATAGGCTTCTGCTACTATCAACGCCTGGATCAATGTGAAACAGAGAAACAAAAGGACTCAGTGTAAGAATTTGGCTGTAAAAATGGAAATATATGTACTTTGTTCTCTGGATACCAAAAAGATTTCATGTTACCAGGCAATACAGGTCATGGTAGACCAAGGAATGTGTCAAGAAGGACTTTGCAGCCTCACCAGTGTGGACCCACTGCATGGACAGACCTGCGGACAGCTGCCCACTTTTGTCAGCAACGCACAGTTGGATGCTGCTAAATTGACATTTCCAGGCACACTTGAGCACATGTTCATCATTACTTCACATTACTACTGCCAACTTACATCCAGGAACTTGCCATGCTGTGAGATGAACTTGACCACATCCTTGCCCTGTAGGTTGATGACCCTGCAGCCCTGACCCAGCAGGTGGATCTGTAGTGCCACCAGGCGGGCCTGCTGGATACATGAGGAGGCATGGCGTAGGCACTCCTCCTGAGAGAGGGCAGTTTTATATGCAATATTTAACACACTGAATGAACAAGAAACAAAAGATCTCATACATGTACATCCATGTACTATTTGGAGTTAACTGAATTTCTTGTTTTCTTCATGATTCATGAATTTCTCACTGACTTCGTACATGCGTCTTCCCAATGGCTGCCATAAGGCAACAGTCATGCATATAGCAGGCAATTGAACTTGAAGACAGGAAATGAGAGAACCTTTTCTGGGACCTTTGACCTACATTGTAACTCCCTTATGTGCCGAGCATGTATAAATAACTATGGAAACACAAGCAAAAACACAAACAGACACCCTGAAAACAAGACATCTGTGTACAGAGGTAGAGAAAACGAACGTGTGGATACAACAATCGTAATTATAGCAATCTAGACAACTGAAAGATCCCACCTTTGCATAGCTCTCTGCAGCATCACTGAAGAATGTCACAATATTCTGAAGACTGCTTTGTATCTGGGGAGTTTGTTCTGTACATGGACAAAATGAACAACTTATCAATTGTTATACATGTAGTTCAACAACATGCACCAAATTTTTATCAATCTACCAAATGAATATAAACTTAAGAGCAGTAATGCTTGATAATTCTGTAGTTTTTCCATGATAAGAAATCATTATACAGTAGAAAAAGTGAACTGACCCAGAGTAACTTTCTCCAGTTTCTTCATGCTCCTGTGTGCCTCTGTCTCCATCATCTCTGCTATCTCCCTGTACATGGAGAAACTCAGGCACACCATGGTGTAGGTGTCCTTGTCGGCGGGGTGGTACCTCTTCAAGTAGTCCAGCAGGGCAAGCTTCAACTTATCCTCCTGCAACAGCATCAACATACATAATTACATGTCTGAGTAAATTGCATTCCTAGTGGTTCGGATTGGCCCTCTAGACACTTGATCGGTAGGGTCCTTCTCAAATGGTTTAACTGATACTGGATCACCAGGTATTTTAGAGTAGCTGAAAACATTGTGGTAGTGACTCTCTGTAGTACCGGTGTGTCTTTTTCTACAGCACTAGATGGTTGGCATTTTATACCTAATTCCTGCATTTGTTACTCCGTGAAGGAGGTCAGGACCTCCGGACGGAGTGTTGTGATCGGCTGATTTTTCATGTTTGCAGTCAAAACACTGGGTTCTCTTTGTGTAATCGGCACGCAATTTTATACGCCGTCTGCGGGCATGCCCGTGTTGATGCACGAATGTGTATTTTTGCCGTTGCTGCTTTCGCGGTCAATGTAATATTGCAGACGCACCCCTACAATTACGAGGCGAATTGGAATGGTCCAGAAAAACGCATTGTTTGGAATAGCAGTGGGGGGGGTGGAACTTCATGCAGATACGGGGTGGTTTTGATAAGTGGTTCCAGATGTTTTTGCCCATGCTTAAGAGATGCCAAGTTTTTTGGAAGATGTTCGCAGCCAAAACGCATTCTTCCGTACGTCGCATTTCTGTGTAATCTCGCATGTGGTGTGGCATTATGCCCGGGATGATGCACGTCTTTTTTTACCGTAGCTGTTTTGATATTGCAGTAAATGCATATTTTAGAAACATCCCTACTTTTACAATCCTGTGGAATAGGCCGTAGGTTTAGGCAGTTGTCTGGTAGCAGAGGTACTCCTAAGTAGATATCCTGCCGGCGGTATCTGGCGGTTATCTGGCCGGCGGTAGTAACACTCGCGGTGCTTACCGCAACTGTTGCTGGAATTTGGCCTGTTCCAGGCGCGCTTAATTAGGTACAGGCACGGTAAGACGGTTGGGCTGTCTTTGTTACTAGACACGACCATGATAGTCCGATCTTTATGTGAATGCAATGATTGTGTGTGTGTAATTAAAATGAACTTCGAACTTGAAGCACAGTATCTTTACACGCGCTGGGAGCAGTAATGGATTTAGCTCTTTGTATGTTTTATGCTTGTGACGCGCCCTCATTGTATTAACCGTTGCCTAATTATAATGTCTGCACAGTAGGGCCCAGTAGGTCTGGCGTTGACGCTTGGGATTTTGTTGAAATATATAAAACTTCACGGAGGATTGTAACCTATGGCTTCTTGTTTCTAATTCAAACTTACTGAACCCAGGAGGTTACCTTGTCAATCCCCTTTCTGAAGAGCAGCTCAAACTGGTGGTATTTCCTCAGGGTGTCAAATATGTAGGTCATCTCGCTGAACCGCCCGATGCCGGTCAGTAACCGTATCATCAGGGCGAACTCTCCGGCCTGTGCCAGGGTGGTGGACAGACTGCGGGCAGTCTTCAGGGTGGAGGATATCCCCTCCATGTTACAGCAGAGGGTGTGGCAGTCATGGGCTCTGATCAGCAGCTCCACCTGGCAGAATTGTTAACAAAGACGTAAAGGGCTCAAAATTAAATGATAAAGGTGTGAGCAAACTACATTGTCTAGCAAAGATAAATGGAGGAACTAAAAAGTATCATGTTCAAGTTGCAAATTACTCCAACCTGCACAGAAAATGCACCCCTGGAAGTTTCAAGCAGTGACCCCTCCAGAGAAGTGGCACGATCCAACAGCATGTTGCCCAATATTGCAGGGTCAGAGCAAAGTTTGGTCAGCTTCAGAAACCCCTCTGTACCATCTGATGGGTGAAACACCAGCTCACTGGCCGTACGGGGGGAGTCTGCATCTATTAGGAAATGTATGTTGTATTCATATGGACTCACAATGAAAAAATAGGTTGCATTCACATTGTTTCACAATGCAACATTCCAGGACTTATAATTGCAAAGATATCTAACCTATCTGCACAAGTAACTGCAGCTAAATTTTGAGAGCACACATTTCGAGACTCTAAATTTCTACCTGGAGCAGTTTCTCCAGTGAAGACCTTAAGGGAATGGAGTATGGCATCAGCCAGGAAGCCTGCAACCTGGAAGAGAGAAATGAGAGTGGGAAAAATGTAACTGATAAACAGGAAAAAAAATGTCACTACAACATACAGGTGAACCAAGCACTGCCAAGGTTGTACTCCACAAAGGTTAGAACTTTGGTTTATGTTGCCAAGTGACTAATTTAATCAACACCCACCTGTTGCTCTCCCATGTGATTGTACTTGATGAAGTCCTTGGCCAGCCTGAGCTTGTGATGAACATCAGACACCAGCAGGTCCTGTAGTGTGCTGAACTCTTCACTAGACACAACCTTCTGGAAACTCCAGTCCAGGGACTGCAACAAGGCAACCATATCACTTAGAAGAGTAAATTCAAGTAGAATTCACAGAAAAGTACACATGTATTGTGACACCAAGAACTACTGGAAAGGACTACATTACCAGTAGTGTTGAAGTCCATAGTCATTAATGAACCTGCATCTGGACCAAGAGGTCATGAATTCGAATCCCAGCTGTTGTCTCCCACCCAACTTGCATGTTACTGAAAAGGGTTGCAGCCCTTAGGATGGCAGGTTAAGCCACGATCCACTTGTGTTCATTGTACTTGTCAAGATGAGCTAGGGGAATTTTCCTGGTACAACAAACTAGTAAATATTTATACTGTTCAGAGTGTCTGTCTTCAGTGTCATAACCAGCAGAAGGGTAGCTCTTCAGTGAGCTAAAACTAGACTTTCACTTTCAGTATAAACCAAAACCACCATACAAGATGACACTTCCAGCAGCTTGGTCCTACCTGTGCCACTTTGTACCCTGCCAGTATCCTGTTACAGCAGTCCTTTCCTTGTACACAGCAGTCAGCCAGGACCTCTATGGTGTTAGAAACATCATCCACGTCCACTGTGGTCCAGCCACTAAGAGTGCTGGCATGGCTGGAAATACTGGAGACTGGGAATAAAGTATGTAAATGTGTCACAGTGCTTCACTTCTACAGGGAAGACCTATCATTCTTCTTCTAAAACTACATTAAATTGTATTTTCAAAATATAGAATGAAATTATCTGAGAAATTGTCTTGAAATAGATAATCTTAAAAACTATATAGATATATAGATAAACAAAACAAAAATACAAGTAAATAAAGGTGACTTACTGCTAATGGACCTGGGCAGGGACTGTGACAATGACATGATCTTCCTACGAGGGCCTGACACTGATAAGGCTTTCATCCTGTCTGGGATGTCCTCCACTAGTGTGGTCCCATGGACCAGTCTGGAGGATGGGTGAGTGATGACTTGTTTCAATTATACAATATATAATGGTTTATGGAAAAGGTTCAGTTCAGTACAAATGGTATTGATACATTCTGTACATTCATTTAAGTTAAAAAATTGCTGTGGTCTTATTTTGCAATAGGAGATTTTTGGGGTATGATACAGAATAATACATGTACTGATGTACTGGGTACATGTTGGAAATGCATATTTGCAATTTGTGGTCAAGAGGTCTCTGTAAAAATAAACCACTGTGAAAGTTTCAAGATTTACCGAAGTATAAAGTTTTCAGCTCTGAATGTAGGAGTTGTAGCTGCAGCAGGGCCTTACCTGAGACATGTGAGGATAATGCACAAGTCCTGACTGTAGAACTGGAACTGTGTCGCCAGTTTACAGGCCTGGCTGATGTTCCCCTGGTCCAGTAACTTCCCAATAATGGAGTCCAGAGCCCTGCACTCCTACAGCAGGGACAATCATACAGACAACATTCAACAGTATGATTGTACTTTCAAATATTCAATTGTACATCAGACCTCTGTAAAGTACAGTATTTGGAGTCGTCATCAGTATATTGTTTTATTCATTATTGTATATGGATTTTCCCACCGGTCTCCAGAAGCAACACACATGAATGTAGTAGGAAACCAAAGACAGAAAATGAGGTGACCTTTTGATAACCAAATTGAATATGTACTGTGCACTTCCTGTCAGACTGAGGGGAAACCATTTTGACCTCTAATTTAATCTTCCTGTCAGTCTGTGATTACAACACATTCAAATAACTATGTACAGAAAAGCAAACAGACACACCAAAAATAAAACCTTCATACACTTCATTCAATTAAGCTACACCAATCCAATACATGTATTGGTTCTTGGATTTTTTTGGGGAAAACAATGGAGTGAGAAAAAAAACACTGGGATGTATAGATGAAAATTAATGAAAATACTTTTTGTGCTAAACAGAGCAGTACTGTCAACATTCTATCTTCACATGTGATACCTGCAACCATGGAGCCTCCATGCTGTGACAAACCCTGCAGCAGCAGGGCACTAGTTGCTCACCGAGGAGCCCAGTGAACAGAGCGTCCGTCAGGATGAAAAGGACTATGATGATGATGATGGTGACTAAACAAATGCTTACTTTGAGTTCTTTCCCTCCTTACCCTTTCTGTTGTGAGAAGACTATCTGAGACTTGAGTCTCCACTGGCATCTTCCCATACATCTGCAGCAGCTCCTGTCTGTAGTCAGTTGGAGTCCCCAGAAGAGTGGACATGGTGATGACTGAGGAACCACCCTGGACAGGGGACACAGAAGTTAGAGATTAGAGTCTTGGCCAGCTGATACAGTTTTCCTGGTTTGTGAGGACCCAGTAGACATTATTGCATCATTTTGAAGGTATCACAATTACCGGTACTCATGTACAGTAACTACTTATATGGATACAAATCATATGGATACAATAATTTGTGTCAGATTCTCAAGTCAATCTTGGTTATTCACGTTTGGTAACATAATTAGCCTAAAACATATTCATTAAAATCTAATGCATTCCTACCTCTTCCTTCTCTACTTCAGCCTGTATACAACTCTTCCACATCCTCTCCTCCAGATTCTCCAGCATTTCTGGGCTGGGTGGGTGGTCTGAATCTGAGGCAAGCCAACGGTGGGCCATGCTCAGTAACAGGGCCTTCTCCCATGAATTGGACAACACTTTAACATATTCTGAATCAGACACCTCCACCACTAAGCCCTCTGCCTGGGTCTATAATATAAAAAAAAGGATAGGCAAAAACATCTTATTACCTATAATATAAAAAAGGATAGGCAAAAACATCTTATTACCTATAATATAAAAAAGGATAGGCAAAAACATCTTATTACCTATCCAAAGAGCTAGAGACTTAACTCTTGAATGTTGTAACATGCCCATGGAAGTCACACTTTCCCCTCAAAGACTGAACAAACCAGCGCAGTATAAAAGAATTTTTTTACAAATCCTTTAATCAACCTGAGCATTCCTACATTGTATGTACAACATGTAAACCAGTTTTTTTCTTCATTCCATCTATCCATGTTTCCCTTGTTCTTCTTCTGCCTTACCTGGAAGAAGTCTGTCGACATGGCAGCAGGTGTGTGGTGCCTCCTGAGTTTGTCCTCACACTGTCTCCAGAACCCCACCCGCGCTGCCTCCTGCAGCCACAGGCTGGACCTCTTCAGCTGGGACAAGTCTTCCAGGAGCTGGTGCAGCAAACAATTTAAACATTCAACATATTTTCTTCTCTCCTTGTTCCTAAAGCCTTGTTTTTTTTACTTGTAAGACCATACATAAATTTTGTCTGGCCTAAAGAAGATGCACTGTAAATTTATTCCTTTTTTTAGAAGGATTTGATTTTGCATTTAGGCATTACGAGTGGAAAAAATACTTTAGCAGCATTTTAAGTTTGTGGTCAGAACAACACTGTACCACAAAACCAGTTTATTCACAGTGGCATGATTCTGAGGTGGAGAGGCACAGTGAACATATGACTATTGAGAATATTTCAACATTTACAGTCATATCAGTTTTGTTGCACACACCTCTTGTACAGTGATGCTGCCTGTGGGCAGTCCGGCCAGTCTGGCAAACTGTCGAGCCACTTCAAACTGTTTCTTGTCCTGTAGGCTGACCAGGACCTGCCCACACTCCTCCTGATACTGTGTGCTGGTGATGTCCATCATCCTCCACACACACATCCTCACTCCTGTCTCCTTCAGCAGCTGGTTCAACTGGTGGATCCTCACATAGTCTGGCACTGTTAGATTGTATCATCACAAACAAAAAGTTAAAGATTTCAGACCAATCAGCTATGTATTATCCATGACCATACATGCAGCATGCTCTGATTACTGTTTGTAATATTGCTTGAGATAAGTACTTCTCCTTGGTAGGCCAAATCTTGCATCCAAGGGAAACTGACTCTTACAGTGACAGATGCAAGCTGCCACTATTGATACATGGCTTACCTTCTCTGGTAAAAACCCTTTGTATGGCAGTGTCTGACAACACTCCTAGAAGAAGACTACGTTCCTGATGTGATGCTGCTGACATCAGCTTGCTGAACACAGACACAGCAACACTCTCCAGCCAGTCTATGGTACCAAATGTCTTGATAACAGTTGAACTTCTGCCCTCTGGAGTCTTTCTAGTTGTGCCCAAGACATCTTTGAACTTGTGCAGGAGGAGGTGGGAAGAAGAGTATTCTTTCTTGACAGAAAAGGCCTCCGCAAACTCAAACAAGGGCACAAGGGGGGATTCCTAGAGACAGAATAATGTTGTTAGTTTTAATACTGAAGATGAATAAAAAATAGGCTGTAAGAACAAACTAGCATCACTGGAAATAAGATTCGATTGTCTTTCCCCATTTCTCTAATTTAAGCATGGGAGGGTTAATGCAGGACTAGACAAAATTAAGCAATCTTCCTTGCTCTATCCATACAAATTGAAAAAGGAATGATCTCAAACTAGCTGAATCAAATCAACTATTTTACATGGTACACCTGTACCATACATGTTCTCAAACTATTTAGTCTTTTTCTTCAGTTTTGATCTAAAGAATACAGGTTGTTGTTGAGATGAGACGAAGCTTCCAGTTGCTCACGGTTTGGAAGATCTGAACTCCTCTAGCCAGTGTTTTGATGTGATTTGTTCCCATGGCTACCAGAATGACCCTGTCCAAGTCCTGAAGGCACCAGTGATGCCACTGTATGTTGGGGATGTGGGCTGTAGCAGGGACAGAGCTGGAGGGAGGGAGGGACGTCACCAGCCACACACACAGGCAGTCTAGGAGCTGGGACTCCTGAAATCAACAAAAGTTTTTTTTTTGTTTCATGTTTTATTTTGGTACAGTACATAATATACCTGTGACTCCTAGCTGACCCATGGGCCATTTACTACTGTCTTGAATGTGGTGCCCAACCCACCTCATAGCAAGCAGCAAGTACAGCTAGTACCGGAGCCGTCAGGGCAACAGCATGAGCCAGCAATGACCTCCAGGGACAGCTGGTATTCTGACATTTGAACAGCACACTGAAGAGATCATCTGGACAGCTGGATGGGTCCACTTCCTTTTCTTCAGCCGAGACTAGAAAACAAGATTATCAATTTTGTCATTGTTACAAATCAAACACCGGTCCACAGAAAATCAAAATGATTTAAATATCAAATGTCACAATAAAATCTACAACAGACAGATGGATTGATATTAGACAGTACCCGTCAAAGTTATAGCAGTCCCATTGCCTGGAGGTGCGCTCTCTGCAGAGCTAACTGTGGCAGACTCAGTTTTATCCTGCGGCTCTGTGCTTGACAACCCTGTGTCTTCATCCTCTTGCTCTGACCCGTCTGTACTGCTCACAGCTGGGCAGAAGAGTACAAGAAAATCATGACCACATCTTAAGCAAAAGATGAATTCTAAGCACAATTACAGCCAATGTATCAGGCCATATTATTCCCTAAAATAGACCTAGAGTATTTCCTGACTAGGTCCAATTCTGGTCCAATTCACCTATAAAACATAGAAGGAAACTGATATAAGCACTGAAATAAGAGCAATCTTCAGAATACAAGACATATTGCCAGTGTATCTTAAGAAAAGGAAATTAACTTGGAAGATTACTAGGAAAAAACGGGAATTGCATACAAGAAACAGTGGGAAGGGGGCTAAGAATCAAAGACAAACAACACTTCAAAATGTACATACATCCTTTCAACATTGACCTCTTTTTACACAGAAACCTATTGAGAGACACTATATATGGGATTGCAAAAAGCCTGCAGGCAGCAAAATTGAAGAGGGACAGATAAAGGACATGTAGCTAACAGACCTTTGGGAGACTTTTGCCTCTTGATGGTACTCACAGGAGTGTGGGTATGGAATGGTTCAGAATAGGCTGGCTTATTCTCATCTACAGTGGACAGTACTTAAAGGACATGTACAACAGAGGAGAGATTAAATAATATGGAAACATGAATAAGGAAATTGACTAAATCTTGTAACAATGAAAGAATAAGGTCAATGCTTAATAGTGCTCTACATGAATAAGTGATATTTGCAGAGCTTAACACCAACAAAATAATTTTTGGAGGTAAATTGCAGAACAACTTGCACTTTGGTAAGCTGATATAAATTATGAGACACAATCGTGTACTACAAAAAAAAAAAAAAAATTCAAGCCCTGACTTGATACTGCTAATTACTGTAACAATACATGTATAAGGGTAACAAATGCTCTGCTGACACTACAGCAGGGGGCTGGTCCACGGGTAACACGGTGGAGTCATCTTCTACACCCATCAGTGCTGAGTAGAGAAGCAGGATGAACCATTTTTCTGACCCATTCAAGAGAATCAAACCCATGACCTATCATACGCAGAGTGAGCATCTGAAGAAAATTACAAGGTCAAAGATGTGTGTTCACCATTGTCTTTGCCTCTGGCCAGTCCCATTCTCATGTAGAACTGGCTCCTGATATCCCTGACACCAGACTGGCCCTCAGTTTTGCCACCCTCGTCTTTCTTCTTCCTCACTCCATCACCACTCATGATATCACTACCTGTAGAAGTATGTAGTCTGTGTTACACAATCTTCTCACTGTCAGGAGACTGATTTGGACAATGTACCAATAGGAGCTCAGGATTCATATGGAAATCAGTCCAATAGGAGTTCAGGATTCTCTGTCACCATGGAAACCAGACATCACAGCCTCCAACACCATTGTAACAGCTTTCAGTCTGATAATGACTGGTCTGTATTAGCACATACTTATCAATGAACAGGATTAAGGAGTTTCAAATTCTCCTGATTTATTGAGGTGTTGGCCATCAAGCAGGGGCCTGGCCAGTGGAAACACTGCTAGAATCACAGTTTGGCTAGACTACAGAAACATGCAACAGTTTCCATATTAAAGCTAGCTGTAAAATTAAATTGTACAACTGCAAATTTTTCATTTCTTATGTATAACCTCAAAGATATGTGAAACTTGGCAAGACAAAATCACTTAATGTATGTTAGCAGATCATTCGTGCTTTGCAAGAAGCAAATACATGTTTTAAGCATAAAAGCATATTTTGTCAAAAATGAGAAGGCTTTGAACCCTTATGAAAATACAGATGATAAATCATTGACTCTTCTGCTGATTGTTTTTGATTGCTGCAGCAGGCCACAAAATACTGGAGCAAAAACATGTCCAACCTGAGAACAGGATGTGCCTAGCCTTCAAAGAGGAGCCTAGTCAGAGAAACATCAAGAAATTTCAACATCATCCCAGTCATAGTCATGGGTACCTTGGAATCCAATCTTGTTAGCTCTAAACACCTTCCAACAGTTGTTGATAAATCTACTTGTCGGTGGGACAGAGACAGTCAGAAGCAGACAAAAGCTAACGAGACTGGCTTCCAGGCTAAGTCAAAGAACACTCACTTCAGAATTATGAATAACATCCCATCCAATTTTACTGGGAAAAGGTTATAGTTACGTATTACTACTCAGAAACTTTTACAATAATGCAACATTCTGTTGCTGTCTAGTAGAAAGGGGACCTAAAGAACACAATGGCACAGTGTGTCCTACCTGCAGTGTACTTCAAGGAATCAAAAGCTAGCTTGAGATGTTCGGCAAGATGTGGACTGTTGAATTTCCCAGCCATCTTTAAGACTTGATCCTTAGGGTATTGGTGGGTTTGGACAAAACAGGTGAACTGCAGCCAGTTGTCAGCCTTGGCACAGTCCTCCAGAAACACACAAGTGTAGGGCAGATAGTGAACGATACAGAAGCTGACAGGCAAGGTCCACTGTTGGCTGGCCTCTGTGCTATCCCTGAAAATAGCAAATAAAAAAGTTTGAAATATGTGTTTAAGGTCTTACTGGATTGATTCTTACTACTGAAATGAAATGCTAAATGAAGAATTCTAGTAATTTCTACTACATGTAGGTTTCCAAACACTGTAAGTTTGATATAGAATCTTCTTTTCCAGAAGAGTGGCCTGTGCAAGTTACTTTGAGTATTGGCAAGTATACGGAAAAAGTATATGAGCCCTTCTAAGGAATAAAAAATTGTTGAGTGGCTCACCTTTCAAGCCCCTGATTGTCTATGAGTTGGGATGTTGCATCCTCTAACCACTGAAGGATGCGCTCTGCTGCCCTTTTCTTGCCACGGACACACTCCAGAAACATGTATGCTATAATGTGTAAAAAAAGTCACAAACCTCAAACTCAACGTTCTTTCTGGAAGGCATTTATTACATTTTGGACAATTTGTCAGGTTTTCTGTAAGCTTGAAATGTCGAATTAGACCAAAGCAAGTCATAAGTAAGAAAAAACAACACAAAAGATGATCTCTTACTGATATCCCTGGCCTGCTGTCTCTCCATGTCCTGTCTCTTCTGCCCAGACAGCTCCATGCTGTCCACCCTGTGGGATAGCACAGTGTTAGCTGTCTGCACGTCCACCCGCAGCTTGGTGCTGTCCACTCCCAGCATCTCCAGGAACAGCACACATGAGGCTGTGACAGCTGGCTGGGTGAAGTTCCTCAGGGCCAGGCAATACGCTTTCAAACTAGCCCGCAAAAGCCTACACAAGGAGAGAAAACAATTTATAAGCTTAAGGTAAATAAGGTAAAGCAGTTATCCTCAACTAAGGTAAACATTATGCTTTTTCAAGTGGCTAGTAGTAGTGCATTACAGCTTTGGTAAGGATCGCATTTTCACCCATCCTCTTCTAGGCAACTACAGGTTGGGTTCTTTGATGTGAAGTGGTAAATGCCTGTTGTGAGTCTTCCTCTGACCTTCTTTGGGAGAGCGACCCTCTTGCTTCCATCTCTGCTGATAGAAACTTTGCGAAGGCAAAAGAAGGCCTGCCCCTCCGCAGGTAGTAGGTGAACTGCAGGTCTTCGGTGTGAGCATACTGGGATACCAACTCCTGGTGAGAGAAGTGGGGCATATCCTGCAGGCAATCTGTGGGAGATATAAATGGTTGGCATGACTAACAAAGCCATCTTCCATTTACTGCTTGGCAATCATGTTGTATGAAGGTTCAGGTTCACTTGTGGGCATAGCCATCTGATCATCAGCTTACCTGATCCAGAGCTAAGTGTGTTCATCTCCTGCCAACCAAACAGTCGACTGGGGTCGAAGGGGCAGTTGCGCTGTGCAGACAAAAAGTGATGGTTACAAAACATTTAGGGACTCAAACTTCATAATTACAGCATTCAGACACCCCTACAGCTACTGAGCATAAACTTCATTTCATTGTGTCTTGGTGTAAAAAGATTTCTTGATGAAAAGTACCTGAAGTAACTGATAAAGTGTAATGTCTTGTGGAGGTACTGTGCCCAATGGGTGGGTAGGAAACAAAACAGACTGCAGTTTGGGATGGGCAGCCAGGGTTCGCTTCAGAACAGAAGGACAGATCTTCCACTGCTTGTCAGAATCAGTGGCTGGTTCAGTCAGTGCCTGGGGGGAAAGAATAATAGAGAAAATTTATGATCAGGTTTGCTTGGATAAAATAGAATTAAGCAATTATGATTATATGATGGATGAAAAGTCTTCACAGGGTGAAACAACTTTGGTCTGTTTACCTGTGTGATGTTTTCAGGTGCATACATCAAAGTAGCCAAGGCCATGAGAACTCGTCCCTCCTCCAACATAGTCTGGACAGTAACAGAGTCGGCCCCCAGGAACACACACGCATTGGACAGACTGGCCTGGAATACTGCAGATGGATCTGTATTTTGGGAACAAAGGTAAAATATTTGGTCACTGCCATGAATTATAAGCAATATCCACCAAGAAGGCAAGTAATGGGGGGGGGGGGTCAAATAAGTTGCTCTCGGAATAAAAAATTTCTAGTGCCAGTGTCACAGGCCAAAATATCAATATACAAATGTTTATTCTGAACAGGGGTTACTTTCTGGCCTGTTACACCTACATGTATGGACCTGTTGTCTCTGACCTGTGTATCTGCTGGCTGTGTGTCTGAACTGGACCAACATGTCCACCCATGGAGCACAGTCTGCAGGGATGCACAGTTTGCCATCTTCTTCATTTAAACTGTGAAAGCAGCAAGGCGAAGTTAACAAAAAACAAACAAAAGGTGACTCATAAACAAAGGCAACTTGTAAATGAAAACTTCAACTTGATTTTACTCAAATTTTCATTCTATCATTCAGGTAGCAATCACTAACCCATAGAAGTCCAGATAGTAATACAGCAGGTTGGGGAGTTGTTTCTCCACGCAGTATGTGATGAACAGGTGGTGGTAGTCTAGGACAGACAGGCTCTTCAGAGGCTCCCCTTCCATGACGTGGGGGTGTGAGATGGCCTGATGTGTCCGGGCTAGTCTTCGCAGAAGGTCCTCAAACTTCAACAGTTCATCAGACACAAATTGTCCTCTCCTTTATTATGTAAAGAAAAATGGATCAATGATATTAACAGAGACTGAATTCTCTGGACATATTCTCATTTTTGGTAGTATGAAACTAAACATTTCTTTAGTGAATGTAGCTTTTTCAGATAAAAACTTATACATTTTATGCATACACAAGAATGTTTCATCCCAAATTGTACTGTAACATTTTTAGCTCCAATTTATCCCCACCTCCTTATGTAAAATGTTGTTCAAAAGTACCTGGCAAGTTCATCCAATATTCTGTCCTTCAGAAATGGTGTGCAGGACCCAAGCTGATTGATCACCTGTAGTGTGAGTGGGCCCTGCAGGGTGAAAGTCACAACTTTCTCTTTATCTTCCTCTACAGGGAAACTGGTCTGTATCCACTGTAGAAGGCTGTTCCACATGTGATGGGACGTTAGGTAGGCCCAGGTGGATTCACAACTTACATTCTTGCTGACATGCTCCTCTGGAAAAAAAATGTATAGTCTTTAGAAGCTTGAGAAGATTTATCAGCTAATAAACAAGTGAAAACCAATGTCTGGAATGGAAAAGCAATTACAGGTATAAAATCAAAATGCAGTAAACTTAAATGATTTGACACTACCTTTTGTGTCCATTGCCAACATCCTCTCCAGCAGGACTCTTTCTCTTGTCTGCTGGTCCCAATGACGTACCCACTCCAGCACCAGGTGGGCATAGCTGGAGTTCTCACAGTTCATGGGACCAGCTCCCCCTATCTCCTCACACTGGAGGTGCAGCGACAGGAAGTCCGAAGCTTGAGCTGTCAGATCTTGTGAAACAGCTTGCAAAGGGTCTCTGATTTCAAAAGAAACAAATGGTGATGACTTCAGCAAAAATATGACCAACCTCAGAGTTGCATCCATCCATGATGACCATAGAAGTAGTTTATAACACAAATAGGGGCAATCTATACCACAATGTATTTAAGTTGTACATTACAGGAAAATCATAATAACAAATACAACTTTGGTGGCTGAAGGTTAGTTGCATGTACCTTTTTGTTGCAGTTTCCTGTAGGAAGGCCTTGGCAGATTGAAAGGACTGACACGTGTACAGACTCTCCACTTGTTGGACAAACTGGACCATAGCCTGTTCTCCTGCTGACAGGGAACCTGACTTCAGGAGTTCTTCAACCTGGGCAAACAGTTCAGACATTCCTTACTGTCACCATTGTGGGGTTTTGAAAGCAAAACAGAAAATATTCTGGATGGCAAAATTGCCATTTACAGGAACTGCTTCAGAAATTTGCATCATTTTTCATATTTCTGTCATGAACTCACCAAGAAGTCCCTCAGTGCTCTGTTTGGAGTGTAGAAACAGATTCTATGCAGTTGTTGAGTCACCTCATAACCCTGTGTGTAGAGTGCACATTGAAAACCAATATCAACTAGAAAGGCCAATATTTGCTTTGGAGCAAATACAGCGATGGGTTCACCACATTTTACGACATGGCAGGGAAAGAATGAGAAACACAAGGGAAAACAATGATTTACATTGATATAACTATAATATGAAGTAACATACAACTAAAACAACAGTTGGATAGCTATTCCCTACTTTATTGGTTAGGATTTTTAATTGCATAATGTAAACTGTTGACATTAGGGATTTACCCAATGGTAAGGCGTGTGGGTCAGATGGTATAAGGAATGAGCACCTGAAATATGCTGGTCTGAGCTTGTATGTCCATCTGTCGTTGCTGTTTACAGCTACCATTGTCCATAATTTTATTCCCAGTAGCCTTTTAGACACTATTATTGTTCCCGTAGTAAAAAACAAATCTGGTAACATCTCTTGTACTGACAATTATAGACCAATTGCGATCACTTCGGCATTATCGAAAGTCCTAGAGGCACTCCTGCTTAATCGTCTGAAGCCTTTTCTTCTGACGTCTGATTCTCAATTTGGCTTTAAACCTAAACATGGGACTGACATGTGTGTTTTTATGTTAAAGCAAATTATCGAGTACTACAGGGGCTTAGGGTCCCCTGTCTTTGTGTGCTTTATGGATGCCTCTAAGGCCTTTGATCGCGTAAACCACTGGACACTGTTTAGAAAGTTGATCGACAGAAATGTTCCGCTATATCTAGTTCGATTCTTGGTTTCCTGGTATACGAATCAAAGAATGTTTGTGAGATGGGGTACAGTCCTTTCACCGAGCTTCTCCGTTACTAACGGAGTACGACAGGGTAGTTTACTGTCCCCATATCTTTTTAATGTATACATAGATGATTTGAGTGTAAGCTTAAACAATGCCAAGGTGGGCTGTTATGTAGGTGGCTCCATCACCAACCACCTGTTTTATGCCGACGACTTATGTCTGATTTGCCCTAGCATTAAATCTCTACAGAGATTGGTTGGGATTTGTGAAGTGGTTGGCCATGGTCAGGACATATTGTTTAATACTAATAAGACTTTCTGTATGTATTTCCCATGTACTCGTTTGCCACTTCAGCTTCCATTGCCACCTGTAAGTCTATACGGTACCAACCTGAAGTACGTAAACTCATTTGTCTATTTGGGTATACATCTAAATACCACATTAAGTGACGATGATTGTGTACTTGCTATGCTGAAGAGTCTTTATAGTCGTGCAAACAGTATCAACCGCAAATTTTTCTGTTGCTCTCCATCTGTTAAGAGACACCTGTTTATGACGTATTGCGCCCAGCTATATGGCGCTCAGTTATGGAGCTCTGTAAGCTCTGGTGTTTTGTATAAGTGCAGAGTGGCTTATAACAATTGTTTTAGAATCATAATGAATCTGCCTCGGCGTTGCAGCGCGAGTGAAATGTTTGTATGTAACTATATTGACACTTTTGAAACCAGGAGGAGGAGAATTTGCTATTCTTTTCTAAAAAGGTTATTTTCCTCCAATAACGCAACAATCTGTCGCTTAATTCATTCCGATGTCTTCTACAGGAATTCATTCTTTCGGAAGACCTACCATTTGTTATGCTTTTAGGTTTCTTCCTGTTTTACTTGTATGTCTGTAGTGTTTTTGTATTATTTTAATGATGTATTGTACATGTTATTATGGGGTTTTTTTACCTGAAATAAAGAATGAATGAATGATTTTCAAAAAAAAAAAAAAAAACGTTACATGCCCGCATTCCAATGCTGGAGCAGAAAAGCTTGAAATACCTACCGAACACTTGAATAGAGACATACTGTCAGTATGGAAATGCTCTGTGCAGGTGTTAATCAAGTTAAATCCCAACAGCCAATCAGCAAGAAATGCTCTGTGCAGGTGGAAATGCTCTGTGCAGGTGTTAATCAAGTTAAATCCCAACAGCCAATCAGCAAGAAGTATAGAGGAAAGCTGCAATGCCTATGGTTGATGCCCTGCATTCCATTGTGATGACTCATGCCCAGACGTGGTAAACACGGCACACTAACACAGTAATACATTTGCTATAACACAGCC